TTATTTCAGTCAACGACCACACAAGACGCAAAACCACGTAGAGGATAAGGAGGACCTCCAGTGATGCCGGATCAGACAGCAGTGAAGCTGCTCTATGACCATGCTGATGGAGATGCTGTCGTTCCCAGCGTTGGTGAGTCAGGAAGGTGTCCTTTAACCGAAATGCCTCCCTTTTTCTCTCATGTTATTGCTGGATCGAAATCGAAATCGCCAATACAACGCATGTGGTGAGAACAAAAGTTGGGATTTTTTTGAGTTCTAATTGCGCCACAGTTTCCTTTTGAGAACTGCTCTATTATGCAAAGTACTTCTAAGCAAGCTACCGAGAAAACAAGACAACTGACAAATATCTTGTTACCCCGCTACTTGCTTTGATACGAAGGTCTACTCCTTTTAACTCCCTCTCAGTCTCCATGTAAGCTTTTTTGGTTTCATCCAAAATCAAATTATCACAAACAAAATCGCTCTAAGCTTGAATTTTTTTCCACTAATTATGGCGACGAACAAAGTGAAACTTTATCCATTATCTGAGTTTTTTTATTGAACAAATAAATAATTAGATCCACTCCATTTTATTCCAATCGCTTGAATTTCAGTCTTAATATTATTGCGAATATTCTACCATCTGAGTCGAAAACTGCTTTACAAAAAAATTGTAGAGGAAAACTCAATGAGCACTCATTGAACTCACGCATTCAAAATCCTTTCTATCTCAAAATCTTCAAGGCCGATCGCATATGGAATTTTTTTTCGCTTTCAACATAAATTACGCTTGTGGGTCCGCTTTCAGGGATTGCTGAAAAAATCATTGGTGTAGTTCTAGCCCTTCCAAAAAAAAAAAACTTGGAAATGTAGATGTTGAATGTTTGACTTCAACATATCAAAAGTAGCTCCATTAAACGAGTTTACAACTGCACTGTGCGGGTTTGTAGTGCAAAGTTACCAGCATGTAATATTAACATAATGTTACAAGTACCATCTTCCTTAGATTCTTGAAGAAACTGAAATGTGAGGATTATCACAAATCAAATGTAGTAAATTTTTCTATGAAGCATTGTTTATTAAGCACAGAAAGTTCCTCAAAGCTTACTCGATCTAGGCTGTTTTCAAATCGTTTTTTATTAATTACGTCGATCTTTTCGCAGAACGTGGTTGAGGAGAGCACGGTGCATTTCTTTCAAGTAGCTGTTCTTCTAGAACAAAAGATCCTTTTGACCTTCGCTCATCATTTTAAGCCATAGCTAAAGTTTACTAAATTTTTGTTAATTTCTGAAGATGTAAGCACTTCTGGAATGTTCCGGAAAATGCAGCGGCTAACGCTGATCAAATATAATCCTAACTGGTCTTGATCAACTACTATCCTAACCGCCGTGATGTATCAACAATAGTGCGAAGAGGCTAAGCTCTTAATGTGAGTGTACTTGTTGAGCAACGTGTCAACAACTCTATGAAGTTACACAACGAGAACGGCTTAGGAGCTCTTCTCTACACACAAATAACAAACCGTGCATTTACATAAGTTCAATGCTTAGCAGAAAATAAGATTATACGAACCTCACTGACTGCAAAACCTTTGTAAAACTCTAACCATTGAAAAGAAGCTATACGTGCTTCCCTAATGAAAACAAGAGCTGTGCATGCGGAATGTGTAGGCAGTCCA